TGCCAATCCCTGACGTGTGCACTTCGGCTCCCACAAAACACCTGTCGGGATGTTGGTGTGCCAAGGCAAGCAAATTGTCACCCGTTCCGAATCCAATTTCCAACCAGATTTCTCGTCCTGCATTATTAGTATTATCTTGGGGGGTAGTTGATGCAAAGATTTCCTCCCAATCCAAGAATGATCCATAATCCACTCTTGGAAGTCGAAATTGAGACATGGCATCTATGGATCGCTTTTGTGCTTTGGTGGGTCTTCCAGAAATCTTTTTCCACCAGAGAGGTTTTTTCGGATTGTATTGTGGGTCTCCTGATGGCGTACTTGAGAAGGCGCTGGAAGTTGGTTCTTCTTCATCCTGCTCATCGTCTTGCATCATCATGGACTGTAAGAAATCCACAGCCGCGGGTTCTTCTTCCTCTTCTCCTTCTTCACCATCGTTGGTGATAACATTATAGTCTACAGCAGAAGGAGCAGACATGGTCGAATGGACCTCCTCGTTGATTGTCAGGTGAAGAAACTTCGGGTAAGGCAAAGAATGAGATTGGGAGATCATTGGTGGCAACTCAGTCACGGATAACGGCACTGTATCTTTTGAAAAAGGTGAAAATGACGTCATACGTGGATGACGTGGCGCAACTGCCCTCATCTTTTGTTGTCAAGAGAGGAAGAAAGGATGGATGGAGTTGTCTGTTGTCTGTTGTCTGTTGTTCTGACTCAACCCATGTTGCCTCTTCGGTCTGATGACATAGTTGTTCTTTCCTCAAGATCAAAACAAAACTGTTGTTTTCCTTTATCTTTTCCAAAATAGCTAGCTACACCATGACTATCTACCGTGCAAGGCTCCTGCTCTCCAGTCTGCTCGTTTTGGGGGCACTTTCAGGAACCAACTGCTTCCAGCCTTTACCCCGTACTCTTGGGATAACCAAACTCGCCGCTGCCAAACTTGATGTAGACGGGGGAAAGTCGAAGGCGCTGCCTGGCAGCAGTGACGAATCCACCAACTACAATTACATTGGTTTCAACACGGACCAAAATACCCCCTACGTCCCTTCGGGCATGTCACCAGAACAATATGCACAAATCAAAAAGACGGAAGCCGCCAAAGCGGCCAGTATGGACTTTGGAGCCTGGGGACCACGTTTCAAACAGACTGCGGCGCCGGGGGGAGACTGGATGGTTAACACCAATTTATGGGTCAAGGGATTCCAACAACAACGGGATGTTGCCTTGTTGTCGCAAGATGATGTAGAACGACAAGAAACTCGACAACGACAATGGAACGCCGTCAAGAGCACGCTTCCCTCGCTCTTTTTGGCCTATCTGATGGTGGATATCCTGCTCATTTCATTGGCGTCCGTCCGATCCACCCAACAAGTCGTGTGGTCGGTGCTAATGGCCCAACAAGGAATCCTTCAAGCCGCACGACAACACACCACTGTGGTGTTTGGTAAACTACACGTTCTTGTACTCAAGCTTTCCCTGGCGGCCGTGGCAACGCCCTTTCTGCACAAGTATCGAGATATTGCCAATCGACGATGGCTCTGGTCGCCAAGAAAAATTGTTGCGACACCTTTGCTGGCCGCGGGTGCTATGCTGGCCGTAAAAATGGCACTGATTGTGGGCATGAAAGCTGTTTTGCAGTGATCAGGAATCAATCAACAAGACTACTCTAGCGGTCATTTGCAAGCCTCAATCAAAGAGCTTCACAGCATTCTATGTTCAGTTCATCTTCCACCTTCCACTTCTTCAAGAGTTCAAAAGGATCATCATTGACTTCATTTCTATTACCCGTACATACTATCCATTCTATGCACATTGGACAACTAAAACTAGCATCACGCTTGATGGTGGAAGCACCTGCTATATGATGTATTTAAAATCAAAATTCAGTTCACTTTGTATGATATGAACTTACTTATGTGAGCTAGCTAGTCTTCATTTTGCAAGGCTGGTTTGGCGCGTTGGATCCATACCAGCTGTGAACTGCAAGAGCTTCTTTGTAGTCGAAAGTCGCAAGCACCTTCTAAGTCACCCATCGTCATCCTTTACTACTTGAATTGAGCCTTGAATATTTTAAGTCATTCATCAATCTCACATACTTCCACGGGTCAACTTCCTCCATGCTTGAAATGAGAGCCACTAATCTCTCTGGAAATGGGTACAGCTGTAGATTTCTGGGTTTGATCCGCTTTGGTGAGCTGATTCCGTCAACTTTCACAGCAACTCTGCCATCTTCCAACCCATCCATGCAGACCAGACCGATTTTGTTGTTCATTGCCAAGCCTGAGGGACTCACAAGGTCATAGATGACAGCCCAAAGTCCAGCTTCACTGATACCTCTTTCCGGAATCACAGAGTCTCCAGAATTCCGTACCTTCTCTTCAGCACATGCTATGATTTTAGCAAACAGTTGGGCATTGTGTGTAAATGCATCATCTGCATGGTCTTCACCTTTTTCAGATTCCACAACTTTGAAGAGTGTAGAGGCTTCCTTCATGTCTTCAGTTGTGCACTTCACAGACACCCTGTGGACGAACTTGACAAAAGCAACTTCATCACACATTTTGCCTTTGGAAACCAAACCAGACAGAGTACATGCTCTTATGAAAGACATCAGGTAGATTGCAAGTTTGTCGCCCGCTCGGTAGGCCTTGAGACAACCTAGTACGACCTTTGTGACTCTCTTCAGCGCCCCATCATGGCACCACCAATTTGGTTTTAAAAGCTGCTGCCCTTTGCATAAATAATCGTTCGAAAGACCAGCCATGCAAGCGGCCCAGTTGAGCATGTTCACATGGATGTTCTGATCGGTGGATTTCACAGATTTGATGACTTCCAAATCTGTACCTTCATTGATGACAATAGGAGGAGCTGACAGAATACTCCATGCCAACCTTCTACATGCTTCCTGATAACATGAACAAGCTTCAAATTTTTGTTCTGGTATATCAAAGCACATACCAAGTCTACGAAAGGCTAGTGATTCCCTTGGTTGCAGTTTGATTGCTTTTCGAAGGTCTTTCTTGGCACCTTTGATGTCACCTGCCGTAATTCTCCTATCTGCTCTCGAGATGAGATCATAGTAATCAGATTCCCCATCAGTTGATTCCACCCTTTCAGACAACAGGAAATCAGCAGCTTGATCCTTTGAGCTCTGCGCATCCTCTTGATGCCATTTTTTGTGTTCTGGCCAAGCCCTTTGGAAGCAATTTTGGGAACAAAAGAGTGCAGGTATGAACCGTTCCTCAGTACAACGAGGACATTGGTCGAATCGCTTGCCATCTGGCTCCACAAGCTGACATCCCCAGCAGACTCTCCCTGCCTTTGCACATGGTGGCCCTCCAACAATCCTATCGCACAGATCTTGCCATGTTGGTTTCATTGGACGTTTCTTGTTTGAGTAGCCACACAAACCAAGTTTTCAGACCTACAGTATGGAAGCAGATGCCGTCTCAGAGGAAAGTAAATCAAACCACTGTCAGCTTTTCTTTCGTAACTGGTAGTGGCTACCAGGTAGTACTTCATGTGGCGAATGAATACAAAGAATTTTCTCAATTTGTTCCGAGAGTCCACAGAGCTGCCTGCATGGACTTGTCTACAGTACTGTACCGGTATGGATCAGGGTTCGCTAACCGATTCCATTGGTTACCGGTTATTAACCGGTCATTTCCGGTTATTAACCGGTCATCCATACGATAACCGGTAACCGGTCATATTTTTTTTGATTGGTTGAATAACCGATAACCGGTAACCGGAGCTTTTTGACTGGTTGATCGAGTGGTTATCGTATACGGTTATTTGGTTACTTGACTAGTTACTTGATCGGTTATTCGATTTTCGAACTTTGCCATTTCCTCTCATAAATTTCCCAACCAATAACCAAAAGGGGAACCTCTCGCATTTTGGTTACTCGAGCGGTTATTCGAGTGGTTACTTTACAGGTTATTTCGACTGGTTATTGGTTACTTGACTGGTTACTTGACTGGTTATTTCGTCGTCGCCCCACTTCTTTCGTCCTATCAAGGTACTCAACCATGCCAAGTGTGGCGGAGGATCATGAGTTCGCGGTTCAAGGGACCGGCACTAGCAGTGTTTTCTCGGATGAAAACCGAGACAATGCAGATTATATTGAACGGACACTTTCACCAACAGCTTTTGACCATGCAGATCGTGAGCTCGAACATGGGGGGGAGGTGGAACGTGGTTATGGTACCTCGCGTGCCATCAAGCATTATGGGTCTGCCTACACATGGGGTATGAAAGTTCCTGAAGAAGCTATTGCAAGACCGTTGCCACCAAGTCGTTCTGCCGCAGCCGCCGCTAATGCTGCTGCTGCTGCCGTCTCGGCTACATCTTCGTCTCATGTCGCTTCTGTTAGAGCTCACCGGTAAGCCAACTCAAGTCTCCACCTGGTGTTGTCAATGTGGTGCACAACATGGCTGTTCAGGCTGGACTTGGTAGTGTCCTCGAACAGTTCAAGATTTTACAGGATGAGTTCATCACTTTCAACAACATTCCTGAGCGTGTTGTTACTGATCACACGAACTGTCCTGAATACTTTAGGATGATTCAGTTCATCATTGCCAACGCCGAGGCCCTCAAGAGAGTGAACAATTACGGACTCATGGGTAGGCAAGCTTTGCGAACCAAGCGACGTGAAACCTGGTTTGAGTTTTCTGCTGGAGTGGAAATGTATGTGACGGAGCAGCCGACGCCTACTTCCGAATCTTTGGCAAGCCTCAAGAGATCAGTATGATCAGTCATGATGTTTGGGATTCCAACCAGAAGGAAGTGTTGGGAGCATCTATCTACTTCTACTCTCCCGTCCGGAAACAGTACTTCAGAATTGCCGTTGCACTTTGTATTGTGGAAAACAAGAAGGCCGCACCAACCGTCGCACAGATCGAAGAAGTCCTATCTACTTTGGGTATCAAGAAAAGCATGTTGTACCGGGCGGTTAATGACACCACCGCAGTAGCCCTCTCTGTTGGTCGCAAACTTACTCTGGAGTTAACGGTGTTTGTGCTATGCATCAGATGCAGTTGTGTCTTGACCATGCAAATGGTCGGAGGGTCAGGACTGACAACAAGAAGGTTGTTGACTCTTTTGAGCCGGGATAGGTGGTACGAAAGATGAGTGAGGCTTGTGCAAAGCACTTGATGGAAAAGAAATCCAAGGGACGCTACAAGGTATTCCTCCAGCTGATGAGGGATGAGGGTCGAGTTGGAAAAAGGATCCGTGTTCCCAACCATACTAGATCAGGTGGAGTTGTTCTTCACTACGGGGATATGATTGTTGCCAGATGGAACCTTCGCATCTACTACCACAAGAACGTCAGCAACAAGGATCTCAGCGATGACAACTTCTACATTGTCTCCCAGCACTATACCGTCCAGCTTCCTCTGTATACCCTTCTTATGATTGTTCAGAGTGATCGCTTCGGTTCCATCTCGTACTCTTACTATTTTCTTTACAGAACTGCCGTCCTCTATTTCGTTCCAGAAATCTGGTGGTTTGCAGAGACGAGAATTCTTGAGAATCCAAACGCGGCCGACAAGTGGGATGGAGATGCAAACTTCCCCAGGCGAACCTTTGATGGAACTCCGTTTGATCCAGCTCCAACCAAGTTGGGGAATACGTACATTGTTCCAAGCTCTCTGACAACTGTTGGGATGAGAAGGGTCCCTCACAAACACAAGACCATGGCAAAATCATCTGTGCAGTTGGTCGATCAAATTGCACATGAATTCATGGAGTATGGAGCCGACGCAAGAAGTAGCTTCAACGCGATCCGTCTTTTGGCGATGATGGTCAACCCATTCTCAACAACAACTGTTCTTCCCGACTTGGAAACGCTTGCCGACCATGTAGAGGAGTTCGCCGATGATGAGTACAAGAACAGTTGCAAGGGTATAACGGCATTGGCAAGACAGCAACTCAAGGAAGCAATCGAGGCAATGTGCGATCAACTACTGTCAGAGAAGGCTCCGCTTGTAAACAAGCCAGGAGATGCAACAGCAGCAACAGAGGAGGAGGAACCCGAAGAACACCTGTCCAGGCTGGAGCAACGCCGCAGAAAGCAACAGAGAACGGAGACTGTGGCGGTAGAGGAAGAAGTGACGGGGGATGTTGACAAGGTGGAACTTGCGATCAACAAATGGATGAAGAACGAGAAGTTCGACATTGTATCTGTCCTCAGAGGGCAGACACGACCCGTGGATAAGGACGAGCTCCTCAAAATTGGCAGCAAGAAGGAAGATTGGATCAAACACGTCAACTTTATTGCCGAGAAGTTTGACATTATGGAATGGTGGGAGGACACCGGCAAAGAAGAATTCCCACTGCTGTATCCTATTGCATGCATCGTCCTTGCCTTGCCCGAAAGTAATGGGGATCAGGAAAGAACTTTCAGTGGCGCCACGTGGATGGATGGAAAGCTCAACTCCAAGCAAACAGACATCACGTTTCAGATGAAGGTTCTCACCTACAAGAATCGTGCCTTCCTCCGCCAACACCGTCACCTTGTGAGCGTTGCAAGGAAGCGGGTGGCCGAGAACCGCACAAAGAGACTCCTCAGAGAACATGTGAAGAAATTGACCCGTGCAGAGGAGGAGGGCAACGAGCCTGAAGATATCACCCAGGAAATGCTGGACGAGTTGGAGCATTACGCCAATGAAGATGCTGCCAGTGCAGCCTTCATTGATGCCAATGCATAAGGTGTAGCAATTGGGATTGAACATGGGACGGGAGCAAACAACACACAAGTCTTGCGGGCCATGTTCAATTCCCTTTGGTTGAACCACTGATATAACCAGTGGTTACCGGTTACTAACCTATAAAATAACCTATAACCAATGCTAAATAACCAATAACCAGTAACCAGTACCTTAGCTTGAGTGGTTATATAACCAATAACCAGTAACCAGTACCCCCAATTGAGTGGTTGAATAACCAATAACCAGTAACCAGTACATAATTGATTGGTTAGCGAACCCTGGTATGGATCCAAGGCAAGGCCGTTCTTCGGGATTTCCCAAGCCCAACACTAATTCTCTCAGGATGCATGGACAGGCGCTCACCCCGGCTTTTGCGTCTTTTGCGTCTTTTGTGAATAATATTTGGATAGGGTTAAGGCCAGGATGAACACGCAAAAGTGCTCGCTCGATGCATGATGCCATCATGATGGCTCTCACAAAGCTCTTTACCATCCTAACCTTTACCAACATGCATCTCTGCCACTCCATCAACGTTTGGTTCGGCTGCTTGTGGATTGTTGCAATCCTTCTTGGTTTGTCTGAAAGTCACGGCAGAATTCTCGATACAGATGATGCATCCAATGATTCCGGAACAACGCCCGTCGCATACAATCGACGGTCTTTCATCATTCATGGAAAACCTACCTTACTGCTTTCAGGCTCAATTCATTATACTCGCATTCCTCCATCTGACTGGAACAATGTATTTCAAATGGCCAAGGTAAATCCGGCTGGCTAGAACAGATGTGCATTGGTTTCAGTCGCGTGTGTGGATACTGCAGCAAACTAATGTCATCATCTCATGATTCTTTGGTACCGGTACTGTCATTTTGCTTTCTGCAGGAGCTTGGCTTAAATTGCATACAAACTCTTGTCATTTGGTCAGAGCATGAGCCGGAGCCAAACAAATTCAACTGGGAAGGATATGGCGATCTCGTAAAATTCATTGATCTTGCTGTGAGTTTCAATGTACCGGTACTGGTATAGAGTAAGACCATTGCAGATCTTCTCCTGCTTACGGTATCCATCTTTCTGCCCATCGGGCCATTCTGGCAGGCTGCACATGATCTATATGTAGTGGTCAGAATTGGACCTTACATCTGGTAAGTTCCACAACAGTTCCGGCAAATCTCCATGTTCCAACAATCTTGCCTCCTCAACTTTATTTCTTGTGACAAACGTCCTACAGTGGAGAATACTACTTTGGTGGCATTCCTTTATGGATGCGCCATGTGACCGACGACGAGGATGGACGAGAGATTGGATGCTTTCGCTGTTCCGATGCTCTGTGGGAACGGGAAATGAAACGCTGGGTATCTATAGTGGTAAACAAACTCAGGCCTCAGCTTGCATCCAATGGTGGGCCAATCATCTGGATGCAGGTGGAAAACGAATACGACCCCGATGATGCCTACTTGGAATGGGCTGTGGACATGGCTCGCAACGTTACAACCGAAATACCATGGAGCCTGTGTGGTCATAATATCAACGAATGTAACAAACTCAATGGACATGGCAAAGATTCCACGACAATCAACAACAATGGGCAGACGAACAAAGTAGTGTGCACAGTAAATGGATTCTGGTCGGAGGCGGGTGTTGGGGTCTCACAACCAGGTCCCGTATTCTTTGATAAGCTCTGGTCAGGTAATCCAACGCAACCTGCTGCCTGGACGGAAGATCAAGGTTGGTTTGACATTTGGGGGTATGGCCGTCGCGTAAGATGGACATCCGACGTGCTCTACGGCATAGCTCGATTCCTGGCGTATGGGGGCTCCTACCACAACTTCTATATGCTGAGCGGGGGCAACAATTATGGCCTCAGGGCAGGCCGAGATGCAACCACTGCCTATGCTGCCGATACAGCAATTGACAACCTACTATTGCGACACGAACCTCGGTTCTCATCCCTTCAAGCACTCTTTGCCGTGATTCGATCGATTGAAAAGGAGCTGCTGCAACAATCTGTGCCAGTCAAGCCTGTACCCCTGAAACGGACACATGGAAGCAGAAACAACAACAGCACAGCAGAGACACACGAGTATGGAAAGATTGCATTCCTTTCAAACTACGGAGAGACAGCATTGGAAAGTGGCACCTTTGACTACAAGGGGCATTCCTATTCTATTCCTAATCACACCGTGGTGCTACTGGATACATCATCCCACAAAGTGCTCTTCAATACAAGCGCATCTTCGGTGGTTGATAAAGACCAAAATCTTCTTCGTCAGGAGGGGCCAGAGGAGACTGCACTCGAGCCAATTCCCCTCACAAATTGGGTGTCCTTTCAGGAACAGGTCGCCTACGGAGCCATCAGGCGCTCCCAGGAGGAGTCACCTGAACAATTGAACATTACCAAAAACAAAAGCGACTACTTGTGGTATAGCTTTCAGACTGAACATGCGGGGAAGATATCAGTCGAGGCCATTGGCTACGGTGGGTACCAGTACGTGTACGTCAATGGAAGACTTTCTGATACTGTCACAACAGCAGGGGTTGTTGGCGCAGAAGGCAACACATCGTCTTTATCGGAGAGACAGTTGCTGCGAGTTCACAAGAATGGCCACAAAAAGAGAAAGGTTGATATCTTTTCTGTGGCAATGGGCCTGGCAAATCAAAAGAAGCGAGTGGATATTCTCTCGGTGGCGATGGGCATGTCCACCTCAGTCTCCCCGCAGACTGGTAAAGGAATCAAGAGTGTATCCGTGGGCAAAGGCAATCCTCCTTATACAACCTTTGCGACTGCTTGGAAGCTCAAGGGTGAGGAGCTGGAAATCTACACCGAAAAAGGTGCCTCGCGTGTGCCGTGGGAACCCATGTCATCTTCCATTCTAAAACCTACGGATGGACTGATGTGGCTCAAGGGTTCTTTTGAGGTGCCCAAGTCTCTGCTTCCCTTTGTCGGCGGTGCCCAGCCAAATCAGACTGCGTTGGTGGTGAATCTACAAGGCCTGAACAAAGGCATGGCCTATGTGAATGGTTTTCATCTTGGCCGATACTGGTTAGTCAAAGGCGAGTGTGATGGAGGATGTGCACCGCCGAAGCACGGCCACCATTGCTTTCTACACTGGGCGGGATGTGGCAGACCCACGCAGCATTTATATCACATTCCCTTTGAAGTATTGAAGGCATCTGGCAATACGCTGACATTGTTTGAAGAAACAGAGTCACAGAAGAAGCGTAACCTGGACCAGGTTCACATCAAGGTGGCACACAATCATATTCCATAATACCTACGTGACGTGCTAGCAACTAGGATGTAGGATTCAATGATTTCCACTCCTTCGGTCTAGTTCTTACTAATTCATCTTGGGTGGTATCTTTCATCGTTAGCTGGCTCGTTTATTTTTTACTACAACTGTTTTTGTAAATGTTTGCACACGCCGTGTGGAATGCTCTATTGGTACAAGCTGATTAGTCGTGATATTGTCGGCGTGCCAGTCATGAGAGCGACGTACTGCACTGTGTGTTGTATGTATACGGTACTAGTACTTGTGGAGCCCCGCAATGTTCGTTCTTCTTTCTTGGAGCTCCAAAAACCAACCATGCTTTGTCACTTATTTGCTACTCACTCTAAGTTAATTACTCTTGATTCCAGGGAAGCTGCTGTGCAATTTCATCGGGGAAAAACTTTTTGGGAACGCAACGGAGTTAGTGGAATGGAACATTTAATTCAACAGGAGGCGTGATGGGTATGTATGACTTACCTTTCCTGGAACCTTCTTTTTGTAGTCTTCGTATTCGGGGAATTTTTTGGATAGTTCCTTCTCTTCATTTTCGACCATTTCACTGAGTACATAGTATAGAAATGCCGTCAATAGGAGTCGACTGGCCGACCCCGTGACGATACTGAATCCAGCCATGGCCGCCAAGAATCCGGCATATTGTGGGTGACGAAGTTTGGAGAATATTCCATCCTGTACGAGTTGTCCATCTTTGGATGGTACGACCCAGGGACTGAGATTGTTACTTCCCAAATCACTAATGGACAATATGATGGACAGTACTCCCGCCAGCATGAGACAAGGTCCCAATAGGATCATCATATAGTCTCCGACAAAGGGAATACCACCAAACACAATGCATCCAAGGAGGGCAAACTGAGCGGCCGCAAAAGCTTCTCCACGTTCCCCGACGGTTCCATCCATCAAGTTATCCTTGATAGTTTCAATGTCAAAGGAAAAGCTGACTTCGGGGACGTTGGCGAGGATATTGTCCATGTCGAATTTGTCGTCCTTTTTTTCATTTGGAAAGACGGGATCTTGGTCGTTAATGGAACTCTTGGGCTTGATGGATGGAGCCTTGCCAGTGGGCGCCACAAAGGCAAACCCCGTGGGTGCCAGAGCAAGAGCTAGAGTAGCAAGGAACTTGATCATCATGGTTGTCTTTATTAAGATCCTACTAATTGCTAATATGTTGCTATGGTTTGGAGCAAGTGGACAACAAGGCTGGTGCTGATGGATTTTCTGTTCTTTGGAACGGAAAATCTTCCAACGGCCAAAACGGCAGCTTGAAAGATCCCTTTTGAATTTTGACACCAGTGTTCTCTGATGGCACCAATCAAGAAGCGATTTGTGCCAATGTGCCAATGACTGTCACTCATCCTCTCAATGACCTCAACAATCTTGCTCCCACGCGATCATCTACTACTAGCGTACTGTACTAGCTAGTAGTCTACTCACAGTATCTGTCGCTGCATGCATTACATCTATCTTTCTCAATAAAAACCAAGAACAATAAGATAGACATCTATCAGCTCGAATAAGATGAGCAGTGAAGGAGAAGCGTTCAAAGTGGCGCTGAGGCCGCGTGTGAACATCAACTCAACCATTGAAGAACTCACCTGTACATTGGATCTTTGGACTGAAAATCACGTTTTGAGACCTTGAGACTTCCACTGCCTCAAACAGCTTTTCCAATTTCTCCTCTTCGGCTTCTTCAAAGAATCGCTTGTAGAAATTGAGTTGAATCGACGTCAAACTGCTCTGCTGAGACTTT